AAAGCCAGCTAAATTTTTCTGTTATCTTGCAGTGTTCTTCCCAGGCCTTTCAAGCACTGCGGGCCCGCGTCGCTTAGACAAACAGCCACGTCGCTTTTGTTTCGCCCGCGATCCTTGAAATCCTGCCCGCGATGCTTATTCACGTTGTATTGTTTACAAGTGTCAGCCTCGTCTAGCACATCTTTAAAACAATAACATGTATTGATCGAAAGGTAATCCCGCCTTTGTGCATAGTTAGCCTTACAAAAACAGTGATAAAAACGGAAGTCTACAAGAAGTTACCAAGTCTATCAAGGGTGCGGAGCTAGCAAACCCAAAATACTAGGGTAGTAATAATTTGCCCATTGCGTCGGGATGGTTTATGCCGAGTTGCTGCACTGCGATTAATTGCGTTTTTACTACTTCATCGCCAGTGACACTAATTACCAAGACTTAAAAAAACAAGTGAAATTAAGTCGCATCGGGAAAAAAAACTAAATAAATCGAAGTAAAAATTATTCAACTGAAGACGAGACGGACGAAGAAAAAACGAACCCTGACCTCTAGAAATACCTCATTCATAGTGCGTCATTACCGAAGAACGCCACCCTAAGGCGACGTAACGCATGTAGTGACATCACAACCGATGCATGCTGGGTTACAACAGAGATTTTGATTGAGGTAGCAAAGATGGCGGCGCAGAGTGCAGTTTTCCGCGATGTTTAAAAACAACATTTCGTTGGCGATTTTGATGCAATTTCTTAAGTTAATCATCAATGAATCGTTTTAATTAAGCAAACATTCTAAGTTTGTGTATTTTTAAACAAAAAAGTCAGGGACCGATGATCGCAACAGCAGCGGTGAATACCCGTTCAACGCAATGCCGTCAGCTGACAATGTTACGGTGATCGTAGCGTTACACAAATAATAGATAGATCAATGAAAAATCGCTGTCTTTAGTTTTGAAATGCCGTTGTAGAAAAAAATGTCATTATTGATTTATTAATTTCTTCATACAGATTTTACAAATTTAACAAACAAATCCCCCCCCCTCGTGTGAACTGACAGTAACATTGGCACTAAAACTGACTGTACTTGTACACAAAATAATGATGAATCAGCAGGGATTGCGTTAACCCCATATTTTGCTTCCCGGACTCCAATTATTGAAGAGGGACCCAGTTTTTCAGACAAGCTGGGGTCCAATGTCTAATAAATTGATCCAGGGTCATATATAAATTTCTTAAATTTTTTTAAATGGGACTCGTCTTGTCGAGACACTAGCGCAAACCCTGATCAGTTACCTCCACGGATAAACAATATATTTCCTGACTGGCTATAAGTATTTCCATTTCTTTCCTGTTCTATTTCAAACTGTATTTGACTTGATGCACACATAAAACACAATGAATGTAAATGATAAAAAATATATGAGATATGTATCTCTTCTTTATTTCAGTTATAATGTTTGTTGGGGAAACTAATTATTATGCAAATAAGATGTATTGTTATGTAAATTAGCCGCGATGCTTGGCTTAGAGTCTGGGGAGAACACTGGTGCTCCATCTTGCAGTTTTTTTCTAGCAAACCCCTGATTAGTATAAAAACTATGATGCACATAAGTTGCAACAATGAGACAATTATCTGGATTGAACCTGGATATTATTAATATTATAAATTATTTTCAATACCAATGCAGGGGTTTTTCTAAACCGGGGAATAGGGGCGAAGCGCTCTGATATTCTCAACTGGCGCCCTTATACCAGATTGCCAATTGAACTTTCAATTCATAAATATATTTCTTGAGCTACACACTTCTGTGCTGCCGTACAACATGAAATCTTTCTCAAATATACTTTTCTCTGTGAAAACTTCCGAGCAACACCAGCTGACAATGTATCTGGACACCAACTACACTAAAATTACTCCAAAAATATTTCAGTGGTGATAGATACACCGTTAAAACGACGCCGAAACCTTACAAAACCTTCCACACCCTATAGTACCCCCCCCATGTTTTTCTAGACAAACCCCTGCCAATGTATATTAAAACAATTATTTTAGTTCATTGCTTTTTTTTTTAGCAAGTCTAAAAAATGCATAATTAGTCAGAGTATCTGTGGTCTATAAAAAAGCAGGTTCAATAATTTGTTTTGTAATTTGTATTTCTTCCCACAGAATCCACATAAAAAAATGAAGCTCGACGCCGGTCTAGAAATGGTGAAGAAACTTAATGGACAGGTACATATGTATTTATGCTACATTAACCCACGATTGTAATCAAATGTTCAATTCTTGTCCTAAAACTAGCTGAAGTGAACAAATAATTTATATTTTGTCAGTCTATACAACAGTTTTTCCTACTCAGATTGTGCAACTGATTTGTTTATATGTAGTGACACTTTTGCATACTCATGGCTGAAAGTACTGGTCAACAAAACCTTAAGAACTTCCCTATAGCCTTGTTTTGATGTGCTAGTAAATGCATGGCTAACTTGTGAAGACATTTCTTATCAGTGGATTATATCCAACTCCAGTTTTTCCTACTCAGATTGTGCAACTGATTTGTTTATTTGTAGTGACACTTTTGCATACTTCATGGCAGAAAGTACTGGTCAACAAAACCTTAAGAACTACCCTATAGCCTTGTTTTGATGTGCTAGTAAATGCATGGCTAACTTGTGAAGACATTTCTTATCAGTGGATTATATCCAACTTCAGTTTTTCCTTCTCGGATTGTGCAACTGATTTGTTTATATGTAGTGACACTTTTGCATACTCATGGCTGAAAGTACTGGTCAACAAAACCTTAAGAACTACCCTATAGCCTTGTTTTGATGTGCTAGTAAATGCATGGCTAACTTGTGAAGACATTTCTTATCAGTGGATTATATCCAACTTCAGTTTTTCCTTCTCGGATTGTGCAACTGATTTGTTTATATGTAGTGACACTTTTGCATACTCATGGCTGAAAATACTGGTCAACAAAATCTAAAGAACTACCCTATAGCCTTGTTTTGATGTGCTAGTAAATGCATGGCTAACTTGTGAAGACATTTCTTATCAGTGGATTATATCCAACACCTGTTAATAGGTTGCAATGGTTCAGATGATGCAGCGTCAAGTGTTTTTGTAGTGCATGTAGTATTTTACAAAATGGCATCAAGTTTTTAGCTCCGCTGTCGACTTTGTCGAGCGGAGCTTATCATATGAGTGATTGTCCGTCGTCGTTCGTGTCAATGTTTTTCTTTTTCGACTTCTTCTTGAAAACTACGAGCCTGAATGCTTTGATACTTGGTGTATATGTACCTTGGGTAAACCTCTCTCAGATTTGTTCATTTCATGATCATATATTCAATTCTCTAATTTTGGTGAATATTTTTGTCATTTTTGGTAAAAAATCAGATTTTCGACTTCTTGTTAAAAACCGCAAAACCAATTGCTTTGATATTACATATATAGGTACTACATGTGGACCTCTCTCAAATTTGTTCATTTCATGATGATATCTTCAATTCTCTAATTTTGATGAATATTTTTGTCATTTTTGGTAAAAAGTGATATTTTCGACTTCTTGTTAAAAACCACAATCATTTATGGTGAAAAATGTTATTTTTGAATTCTTGTTGAAAACAGCAAGTCCCATAGCATTGATACTATGCATATTGTTCATTTTCTAATATCTTCTGTTCTTTAATTGAATTGTGCATTGCTCACAGCGGAGCTGTCTCAGCCGAGAGGCTGCTTGTTTACATTTTTGTTTGGCAATGTAAACATTTAATCTGCTTTTAAAGCTCTACCGTCATCACACTGCATCCTGTTTGATATGTGACCTATAACAACGTTTACAACGCTTACATTCATATAGCCAGTGAGGAGCACTTCTTACTGTGTTAGAACTTGTTAGCAACATGTATACCATTAATATTTGTATTGTCACATTTTTGTAAGATGCCTGTTGCATGTTAATAAATGTGCATAATATAAGATAAGATAAGATACATGTAAGATAATTCTTTATTACAACCTTATAGAATGAATTGCATGTCTATTTTGGTTTATAAAATGTAATCAAGGTGTTAAAATAAACATATCAAGTTAGATATCTAAAATCTACTATAATACGGTTACATGTAATAATGTAAAAATAAATACTAATGACCCATTAGGTGGTTTTCTCTAATGGTATTTGCTGTTTTATAAATTTGATAATATATAATGAAAGCAAACTGTGGATTGTTGGCAAATACATTGTATATGGCATCAGAATTTCCAAACAATTTCATAAATCTGGTTGTAATTAAGTTTCAGCACTATTTCAGCCATTGCCACTGCATCTCAATTTACATCGTGCATAAATTCTTGGAGATTATCGCTGGCAAAGGGTTAATCTTAATTTCTTTGAGTTTAGTTGCTGAATTTAAGAACAGAGACCACTGAGCTTAGACAGCAGTGTATCGCAGGTGAGCATTTACTGACACCAGAACAAAGAACAACATTGCTGGCATGTAACTCACCCCTACCTGAGGATTGTCAAAGTGGCAATGAACTTGATGAAAGTATCATCTTTATAGAGTCAGACTCTGGTCAAGGTAAGTCATTCCAGAAATTAGTTGAAAACCTTGTTTCCATGTTTTTAGTCCCCGTTCGGACGCAGTCCGAAAACGGGGACTTATGTTTTGCCCTGTGTGCGTCCGTGCGTCCGTGATCACCTGTATCTCGAACATGCATGGACCGATTAAGTTCAAACTTCACTCATACATCACACATTATATGGGACATATGCACATGCATTTTTTTCATGATCCGATTAACGATAGCCGAATAGCGGCCATTTTAAGGCCGAAAATGCATCAAAATCGCACATTTTCACCATCCGGGCCCGGATCTCAGTTATGCATGGACGGATTTTGTTCAAATTTGGTACATACATTAAACATAATAGGACCTTGATGCACGTCAGTTTCTTTTTTGGATCGGGTTCGAAATGGCCGACTGGCGGCCATTTTGTTTTAAAGAATTCAGTTCTGGATCCGTATCTGAGACATGCTTGGATTGATCGAATTCAAACTTCACACACACAAGGTACATCATGTCACAAATATGTATGTGCATTTGTTTCATGATCTCATTAACGATAGCCAAATGGCAGGCCACTTTAAGGCCGAAAATGCATTGAAATCGCACATTTCACC